TGGGCGGAGCGAGCCGGCGTCTATGGCCAATCACTTCAGCTTTTCAGGCGTGCGCGCGCCGTCTAGCCCACCCAATCAGAAAACGGGAAGGGGGAGGGCTGCGTCTCCAGCTGTATCCAATCATAGCGCAGAAAAGGCGGGCCTTACCGCCTGCTGTGTCCAATCAGAGGGCGGCCTTGGAAGGCAGGGCCGTCTCGCTGCTGGGTGGGCCTGCTCGGCGCCGCAGGGTGCTCTGGGAGTTGTAGTCCAAGCGCTTGGGAGATGCCAGGACGCTGCTGGGAGCGGGCAGGGAGCCGTGGCAGGCGTCTGCGCTCGCTGCCGCTCCCGTGCGCCCCTCACCGTAGTGTCTGGGCCTGGCGCCCCCGGCCGGGGCCTCGCTGTGTGTGCGGCTGCCGAGGGCCGGGCTCCAGCCAGCATCTTCGGACTTGGAAGTTGCTCCACGTGGGAGCCCAGCCAGGGCCAGCTGCTGGGGTGGTGGGGAAGGGTCCCGGCTGAGATCTAAGCCCTGTGCTAGGGGCTGAACCCAGGCCCTGCCCAGAGAGCCCAGACCTCTTGGACAGGGCACACGAAGACATAGGGAGAGAGGTTGGGTGCAGCAGTGTGGCTCCAGCCAGCATCTTCGGACTTGGAAGTTGCTCCACGTGGGAGCCCAGCCAGGGCCAGCTGCTGGGGTGGTGGGGAAGGGTCCCGGCTGAGATCTAAGCCCTGTGCTAGGGGCTGAACCCAGGCCCTGCCCAGAGAGCCCAGACCTCTTGGACAGGGCACACGAAGACATAGGGAGAGAGGTTGGGTGCAGCAGTGTGGTGCCCCGATGGGGCTGCCAGCTGGGGGGGCTCTGACCCCAGAACCTTTCCTCCTGCTACCAACAGAGGAGGACTCAACCCAAACCCCTCTCCCTGCAGAAGTCGGTCCCAGTCCCACGGTGCAGCTAATAAAACCTCAGTGACGATGATGGATTGCTGATGATGTTTGGCACTTCTACAGCGACTATCATCTAACGCTCTTACCCTACCAGCAGGGAGGGAATGGGGATAAACTGGCCACAAATAAACTTAGGCTGGAAATTAGACAGCTTAGGTCTAACCATCCCACGAGGGTGGGTCTGGAACAGTGGCCTGAAGAGACTAGTTTAACATGGAGCTTGATATGTTTATGAACAGGACAATATGACGGAGCTGCCAGCAATAGCAGGCAATGGGACCTAATAGCCAAGGAAGCCCTTTCCAATCCTTAGGGATGCCACCTAGCCAGGTGTTCCCGGGATCATCTCTTGATCATCCCAAGAGCATCCCTAGGGGATCAGTATGCTCTGGCAGTTGTCCAGGTGTATGGATTTAGCCCAAGGATCATCCCGTGGGTCCTGGGTTTTGTACCTCAGAGGAGCCAACCCTACCAGTGCTGTGTTCCTAACAGCACAAACAGCCTGTCACTGATGAAATAGGAGTCACATACGACCCCGCTTGATTTTCAGCCTTCGGATGGAGACTGGTGTGCAGGACATGTTGGCGGGGAGAAGCGATTCTCTTTCTGAGGCCCTTACTGTGGAGTGCAGGAGCAGGGGTCCACACAATGGTAGCTAACAACACATTGATTTCAAGGGGAACAGCAAGGTGTTGCTTAAATTGGGGATATCACTGAGGGATGCATAATACAGAGAACATACGCTGCCTTTTGGCTAGAAATCAACATGTTTCCATAGCTGACTCACGCTGGGAGAGGATCCTGGCTGGTAAGTGAGGGAAGAAAAGCTCTGTGAACTCCACTGGGCTTCGCCTAGGCAAGAGGATCATGGAATCTCAAACTCTCCAGTAAAATGCCAAATCAAGTGCAACATTCCTAAGGTCCACTAGGTGTCAGTCGCTGCTAATATTTGAAAGGGGCCTGCGGGCACAGTAATTGGGGTAGTTGTGCACAGTGGGGCTGGAACAATTGTTAGCGTGGGGGTGCTGAGCTGCGCCCGTCCTCCCCACCTGCTGCAGGGCAGAGTGACGATCCTGCCGTGCTCTTCCCATGTCAGTCCCCCACCCACAGCCCTCTCCCCCGTCACACATGCCCGCATCCCAAGGCTAGATAGATTGCCAGAGCGCCATGAACCCCACTGCTAGAGCATCACATGCTTTATTTCACTCGTCAAGCCCAGCTATAAATTACCCCCCCCAACACACAGACCGAAACCCTGAGACCACAGCTGAGCATCAGTGTGACCTCTCCCCACCCCCGCCCCAACCTGTGGGTGCAGACATCCACTTCGATTCAGAGGGAGCAGGTGGGAAGACTGGCTCTGAGCCAGCTCCCAGGGCTCTGTCTGCTCAGGGCTCTTCTTTGAGACCCCTCCCCTGGCTCCCAGCGGGGCTGGTGCAGTAGGACAAGCTGCCCTCAGCGGGCATTGCTCAGGGGAGCGTATGGCCTGGAAGGCAGGACTCCTCCCCCAGCGGACACGTAGCCCAGCCGCCCCGGCTCTCGGTGCTCACCTGGGACAGGTGCGTGGGCCTCTCGCCTCCAGCAGGATCCCCTGGGAGTTTTGCAGCCCTGGGGTTTGAACTGTGCCCCTTGCCGCAGAGACTGGGGAAAGCTTCTGGACACTCCCGCTGGCCCCTCTTCATGCCCACGCTCACCCTGGCGTCGGAGGGCAAGGGCCGGGGTCCCATGGGGCAGAGACTCTGGCAGGCTCCTTTAACAGCAGTGCCAGGGGAGGTGATGGCATTTATCCCCACAGCTGAGTCTTGCCCATGTACACTGGGCACAGGGTGGAGGGGTCATTTCTGGGGAAAGCTTCTGGACACTCCCGCTGGCCCCTCTTCATGCCCACGCTCACCCTGGCGTCGGAGGGCAAGGGCCGGGGTCCCATGGGGCAGAGACTCTGGCAGGCTCCTTTAACAGCAGTGCCAGGGGAGGTGATGGCATTTATCCCCACAGCTGAGTCTTGCCCATGTACACTGGGCACAGGGTGGAGGGGTCATTTCGGACAGAGCTTTATTGGCTGGCTGGGCCCAGCTCTGCCCTGAGGGCAGCCTCCCTCTCCTTGTAACACAGCCTCCCCTGCCTGCTGCTTCCCCTCCTCCGCCTGCCCTTCCTCGCCCCAGCCTTCCTCCTCCTCCTCCTCCTCCTCGCTGTCCGAGTCCTCGTAGAGGCTGATGGTGGCCTGCACGGGGAAGTTCTCCAGCAGCTTCTCCCCCTCGCTGTAGAGGTAATCGAAGGACCTGGATCGGGGCCACAAGAGTCTGAGGGGAAAACAGGCTTGAGAAATACAGGTTCCTTCGCTTCCCCTGGGACAGAGTACGGGGGTGCACGGCCTGCATGGGGCCCGCACTGGGCGAGGAGGGGCTGCCGGGAGGGAGTGAGGGAGGGGCCTGGGCACAGCTGCGTGGAGAAGTGGGGCTTACAGAGAAGAGAGGGCAGGGCTGGCCAAGCAGAGGCACTGCAGGGCTAGAGGATGGGACATGAGCCGGGCCAAGAGCACGAAGCTGACGCTCCACGTTCACTGGGAGCCCCGGATCCCGGCCCTGGTACACGTACCTGACGGGGTGCCGGAACAGCGCCGCCGCCTTGCCGGAGCCGCCATCCACCAGCGTCCCGCTGCCACAGGCCTCGGGAAACAAAGCACAGGAATTGGGACGCATGCCTCCAGCAACTGGCCCCAGAGAAGTCTGCCCCCCAGCTACCGGGGGCCAGCCAAGGGCAGTCTGCCCCTCCGCCTCTAAGGGGCACCACTGGGGCGCCTGCCCCCATGCTCTAGGGCAGTGGTTCCCGATGGACCTCTGGTGCACCTCGACGATAAGGAGGTCATGGAAAGTTTAAAAGTTGGTAAGGATTGGGCCCACTACAGTGAGCCCGATCCTTACTTTGATTTTCCCTTTTTTTTCCCCTCCCCCTGGGCTGCGTGCCCGGCAAAGGGCGGAGTGCCGGGGCAGGAGCTGCCCTCAAGAGAGGAATTTTGGGAGGGTAGGAGGGCAGCAGCCGTGCGCTCTGGGACAGGACTTGCTTCTCCCATCCCCGGATGCTAAGGGAGCGAGGGGAAAGTGCTTGTGTTCCGTGCATGCCTCTCACACACCAGCCAGGGGAGATCTGCCCCCCAGCCTACAAGGGGCACCAGCCAGGGGAGGGCTCTGCCCCCCAGCCTCCCATGGGATGTGAATGGAGCCTACTCGAAGGATCCCATGCATTAGGCTGCCAGGCCGTGCACTCAGCACAGCATTGCTCGGCTCCCGCGCCCCCTCCTTCTCTGCCCCTGCCCCCAAGCGGTCCCCGTGTGCAGCCCAGCGAGCTCGGAGGTTGGAGGTGGAAAGGGCCAGCAGTGCAGCCCAGCGCTAGCTGCAGAAGGGCTGGAGGGGGTCGCCTGGCAGCCAATCACCCTCCCCCAATCCCACGGCCAGGCAGATTCCCACCATCCCGAGTTCCCTTCTCCCGCACGTCCCATCCTGCGAAACAGACTCCAGAGCTGGAGGTCACCCACGGCCACCTCCCTGGGGAGTGCACCAGCCGGGGGAGGCTGCTCGTGGCCGGCCCGCCTCCCCTACGCCTGTGCTGCTCCACGTTCCTGTCCACAGAGGCGTAGGGCGAGTGCCCGCCCCGCCTCGGACCCGCCCTGAGCCCCAGAGGGACCAGGGGCCGAGCATAGGGAGGGTGAGACTCACTGTGTCCGTCTGGTCCGTGTGCTGCCGGCCCAGGTCCTTTGCAGGGGGGAGCCAGGGTCTCCAGAGCGGTGGGGATCTGCAAAGAGAGACGAGGCGGGTCTGGAGCGGGCCAGTCGGCCGCCTGCTAGTCCGAGGCGCTATCGCACTGAGACGTCCCCGCCGCGGCGTGGCACGAGCGCCAAGGCAAACGCAGGCCCGTGAGAACAGGGCGAGGGTATAAAACACCAAACCCGCCCCCCATCCTTCGGACCGAGACCCGCTCACGTCCACACCCAAACGCAGCCCTCGCCCCAGCCCTTCGCCTGCCCCGCCCTGGGACGAGACCCAGCCCCCAGACTGCTCTGAGCCCCATGAGCCCTCCGCTTTGCAGGGCCAAGGGATGGGGGGGGCAGGGAGAGCGATGCATTGGGCCCCACCTAACCCTCCCCCCAAAGTAGAGGTCAGGGGTTAGGAGAATCCCTGCACCCACATCCTGATCCAGTGTCCCAGCCCCCATCCCCCGGGCCTCAGTTTCCCCATCTGGGTGGTGGGGGCCAGGGAGCCTGTTTCTGAGCCCGCAGGGGAGAGAAGCCCAAAGTCCTTATTAACAATGGCAGTCGCCCCATCTGCCCCACCCCCCGCCCCTTTGCCAACAGCGACAAGACGGAGCAAAGGCTCCCCCCTCGGCTGGCGCCGTCTGCTCCGACTCTGCTGCGCCAGCCCCAGAGCGGGCAAGGGGCACCGTGGCCACAAGTTCCTCGTTACCTTCCGCGTTGCTCTCGGCCCTGCACGGGGCGCCCACAGCCCAAGGCACCGGGGGGCCCCCGGAGCCAGCGCAGGAGGGGAGCGTGGACAGGAGCTTCCATGGCGTGAGCTGGCTAGGCACAGCGAGATCTCTCTCTCCGGCCCCTCGGCTTTTCCTCGGAGCCCTTTATAGCCCTCCCGGCCTGGTGTGGGCTGGGGCAGGGGGAGAGCCGGAGGTCCCAGTGTGCCCCAGTTGAATAAACAGCAGCTCAGCAGGAGGCTGGGGGGGCAGCGTCAGCTCTGGTGGAAAAACAAAACACAGAAGGGAAAAGTTCGACACCATTTGTGAGAAATGCCCCAGGGGGCCAGGGGGCGGGCGGACAATTGATGAGGGTGATTAGGCGCTTTCTCCCCACGGCCATGAGGGCGGGGGCCGGGGGCAGTGACGCGGGGAAGAAATGGGGCTGCGCTGGCTGTCCACGGGACGGCACCGCTCCTGGAGAGGGCTGGGGACAGAGCGGGGGCGGAGGGAGGCGAGGGACAGAGGAGAAAGGCCTGAGATTTCTGGGACGTATCAAAGGGGTAGAAAGGACAGTGGGCCTGGCGAGGGCCCGAGCGCACCACCCCCCCT